TGCTTTGCAATGTCGGCAAACGCGCGCACGAAGGAGCTCACGCGCGTCTGCTGCACGGGATACTTCGCCTGCCAGGGCGATCAGAGACAGAGGGCAAGGAGGCAGCAAGAAACGAGCAGTGAGCAACGGGAAGAACGGGGAGACCTGTTGAAGTGCGGAAAGCAGCGAGAGGAGTCGTGTAAAGAAGGAAGAAGGAGGAAGGTGAATGTGGAGAAGGAAGAAGGAAAGGGGCGGAGGAAGGGAGGAGGGAGGAAACGAAGTGAGAAGGAGGGAGGAGAGCGGTAGAGACGAGGAAAGGCAGGAGTTGGCCGAGGGAGGTAGGAAAGTGAACAGCGAGGGGACCTGATATTGCAGTCTCTTGATGTGATTGAGACATGTGACCGCATCCTGGAAGCAGAAGAGAATCAAGAGAAGAAGGACAAGGCTAGTCTTGCTACCCTGCCGGACACAGAGCTCACTCCTCCTGCGAAGGCGACGAGGTTGGGCTCGATGGCGTCGAGGAGGAGGTCGAGTTTGGTGTAGGAGGCGAGGTTGGGAGGGAGGGACTGCAACGAGTTCACAGCAGGAAGTGGGGGAGAGGGAATAAGTGAGTGCATGGCCGGGCAATGATGGGGAGTGCACAGAGAAGAATCAAAGGGTGGAGTTCAAGAAAGAGATGGAAAGAGTAGAAGAAGGGGAAGGAGTCGACGACGGAAGGAGGAAGGAGGAACAAGGAAGGAGGAAGAGGCAGGAGGAAGAGGCAGGAGGAAGAGGCAGGAAGAAGAGGCAGGAGGAAGAGGAAGGAAGAAGGAAGAAGGATCAAGCAGGAAAGAGGAAAGAGAAAGCAAGAAGGAAGGGAGTGGTTGGAACAGAAACGGAAGCGAGGAGGGAGGAGGAGGATGAATACCTTAGATGTGCCCGCTCTCATGCGTCCGCCCCGAATCTCGAAGAAAGCGCCAAGAGGGGAAGCCGCGAGCTGTGGAAAACAAAAGTTAATGAGGAGGAGGAGGGTGAGGGTGAGGGGGAAGAAGAGGTGGGGAGGTAGAGAGAACGAGGAGGAGGAAGCAGAAGCATCAAGGACAGGAAGGCGGAGGGGAGACGGGAAGAGAGAGGAAGGGGAGGCGAGTAAGCTTGCGATCTACCTCAGCAAGCTGCTCCTCAGCACGCATGTAGGCCTCCCTCCCCTCCCTCCCCTTGGCATCCTTGAGGACATACAGCTTGATCTCCCGCTTCTTGGTCTCCTCGATCACGAACCGCTCGTTCCCGTACACGGACAGGAGCTTGTTGAACGAGCTGATCTTCGTCCCGTCAAACTTGCTCCGCGGGAAGTCAGGGAACATGTTCTTCCACTCCCTACCGAAGGACAGGGAGTCGATGCACCCTCCCGCCGCCCTCACAACCGCCTCTGCATTGTTGAGCGCCAGTTCAACCAGCTCAGCCGATGGCTCTTGGAGCACGGAGCCGCTAGAAGAGCCCCAATCCTTCTCTGCCTGCTCTTTCTCTTCCTCATTTCCTCCGCTGGAGCACATTTGCACGGCGTGAAGGCGTGCGGGCGGTGGAGGACGGGAAAGAAAGGATGGTAGGGGGCCTTCCGTCCTGGTAGCGCAGAGGCCCCGAACTCTGCTGCTGATGCCTCCTCCTGGGAGAGTCGGGATGAAGCCATGGCAAGTCGACAACATGACGATCATTATCAGCAGCATGCTGCTTCTGCACTTCCCTGGTCCAGCCCTTTCATACCACCCACAGCCTCCACGTCGAGAGGAGAATGAGGAGGGAGAAGCACGATTCTTCTCGTGCGATCTTGGTCTTGCACACATCTCCATCATCGCATGGTCTTTCTTCGGCTCTCTTCCATCTCCTCCTGCATCGCCGCCTCTCCTGTTTCCTTCCCCTGTCCCTGCCCCCCATGGATTCACCATGTTTTCGCACCCTACTTCCATCCCGAGTCCAATCTTTGCAATAGTTTCATTTTCCTCAAAGGAATATTGAGAGTAATTTTGAAAAGTTCAGCATGAATATGAAATCTAAACTTCAGGAGATTTTCAATAATAATTCATTTTCTATGAAATTTTAATTGTTAACTTCAAATTTGCACAAAGAGGGATTCCAAATGTTTGGCCTCCATTTTTTTGTTACGTGGTAAACCTGCCACAAGGAATGGCGCAAAGAAACAATCGAATGCGCAAAGAAGCATCGTAGCGCCTGCCATGCTAGAGCAGGAAGAGAGCAGGGCAGATACTGGAGGAGAGTGAGCAAAAGAAGTGCAGGAGATGCGATGGGGCGGGAGATGGGACGGGAGAGAGGGATGGGATGGGATACCTTAGTCTTCCAAGAAACCGAGCATGAAGATACTGATGAGTTGTAAGAACATTGTCAATCTTGATCAGCTATCCAAAAGGAAGAATCGAAAACATACAAGAGTATTTGAATTGAGTGTTGACATGTCGTGTTTTAGGCGAACGTGGTTTCCATTGGAGAGATCGAGGTTGGATGGGTGCGGCTATCATGAGGATTGTAGAAGCAGAGGAAGATAATGAGATTATGAGAAGCACCTTTTTCGACTCCATTAGACGACAAGAGAGATGTCTGCATATTGTCATGGTCAAATCTCAAGTAAGAGGGTGACGTGTTGACAGATTAGTTGTAAAATTATTGTGACAAGTTGTAAACCATAGTTGTTTGTTTCGCCCGTCTATGGCGTCATGGATTTCCCATGCTACAGTAGGGTGATTGGAATAAATCTCGCGTGAGCTTCCCATGTGTGTTTGCAATCACACCTGAGGAATGGTGGCGCTGAGCTTGAAGATGTAGCAAACAGTGTTTGAGTGAGAATATCTTTCATGTTCATGTTGGGACCGGGAGATTGGATGAATTAGGCAGGAATCTCCGGTCGCCGAAGATAAGGTGTAGCAGGAATGAGCTTCGAAAGGAGGAGGAGGAGAGGGAGAGGGAGAGGGAGAGGGAGAAGGAGCCTCGGACGGGGGGTGGGGAGGCTGAGGGGGACGAGGAGGTGGAGCCTGGGAGAGTAGAAGTACGGCGGTACGGCAGGAGGAGGAGGAGCAGCTTGAGCAGAACGGCGGTGCCGGTCGGGTCCAACCGTCAGCAATGACTGGTAAACTTCTAGTAGCACTCATGGGGGCTAGCCTGCCCGGCACTGGTGGCAAGCGCGGCCGGGCCGGGCCCGGGCCGCCCGGCGGCCGCGGCCCCCCGGGCCCGGCCGTCACAACCATGAGTCACCGGGCAGTCTCTGCACGGTCAGTCCGATCAGCCTTCCGAAGTTCACCGAGTGATCAGCCTGGCAGGCTGCCCCCGGCCGCCGGCCAGCCTCGGAGCCCGGCGTGACCGTCCGGGCCCCGGCTGATCATCCGGCGAGGCGCCGCCGATCCGGTGGCCGTCACGTCACGTGCGGACTCTGAGCCTTCTGAGTCACGGACCGTACAGCGGCCCGGATCGGATCATCGGATCATCGGATCATCGATCCGACGCCGTCGGACCGTACCGGCGGCATGATCAGTGGCCGCACCGTGACTCAGTGAGCTATGCTAAGCCCGGGCCGCCGGGTCAGAGTCGGCCGCGCCGTCCGATCACCGGGCCGTGACCGTCGACCGTACGGTAGGCTCCGGGGCTACTTATTACGGTACCGTCGCCGGTACTTCGGTGCGGTGACCGTTGAATGTGAGTACTAGCCCGTAGTTATACGGCCCGCGGCCGCCGGGCGGCAGCCGGGCTCACGGCAGTCACGGTGGCCGGCCCGCCGGGCGGCAGCCGGGCTCACGGCAGTCACGGTGGCCGGCCGCGCACCGTGCGGCTGGTCACTGATGGAACGTATGCCAGCCGTGCCAGTCAGATAGCGCCGAGTTAACAAAAAACTCTCCTGTAAACCAAGACGACTTACGTGTTTTGCGAGGCGGCATGTAGTACGTGTGGACGAAGAGGGGCCTTTCCTAGCCGTCTTGCTAAGGTCCTCTCATGTCTGGATGCTTGGGTTTCACATGCTAGCATACAGTCTATCTCTCATGTGCTCCTCAATTCTGGATTTGTGTGCATTAAACTCGGTCTTGAGCAAAAACTGTCTTGTTACAACTAAGGTCGATGTGATATCTGCGTGACTTTGGACTAGTGACGGAATACAAGTTTGTTAGACTTGTACTAGTCCAAAGTCACGCAGATATCACATCGACCTTAGTTGTAACAAGACAGTTTTTGCTCAAGACCGAGTTTAATGCACACAAATCCAGAATTGAGGAGCACATGAGAGATAGACTGTATGCTAGCATGTGAAACCCAAGCATCCAGACATGAGAGGACCTTAGCAAGACGGCTAGGAAAGGCCCCTCTTCGTCCACACGTACTACCGTACATGCCGCCTCGCAAAACACGTAAGTCGTCTTGGTTTACAGGAGAGTTTTTTGTTAACTCGGCGCTATCTGACTGGCACGGCTGGCATACGTTCCATCCTCCCCCCGAGTTTCTGAAATAGTACGTTACATCGGACGTCAGAAAGTCACACAAACAAGCTTGAAGAGAATGTCAGCAGAGTTCCAAGTCAAGATACGATGATACAACGTCAAGTTCACAGTCATGCTGAGTGGGCAATAACCATTCAAGGATTGTCCATTCTGAAGAAGAATTTCATGCAGGGCTATTAGATGGGGCAGTGCAGAGATAAGGGAGATGCCTGGCGAGCTGATGCAATGACGAGAGAAGGAGGATAAGATAAGAGAGTCTGAGGAGAGAACTTCGGAGTTCAGATAACAGAGAGAGAGAGAGAGAGAGCGTGCCCGCCGGCATTTGAAGACCAAAAGATAAAGTTTGAACCGTAAAGAACTTGTCACCAGAGATTGCTGCCGCGAGATGGAACATCCGTTTCAAGGCATTCGAAGATTGTTGTGCAGTTGTACCTTGTTCGCCGATCCAGAAGTAGCTCCAGTTATGCATGCCACAGCCTAGCTCCATGACATGAAAACTTCCGCCAGATCTCCTGGTAGTTCCATTTGATCCTACTCAAAGATCAAGAAAAATAAGAATCGAATCAGCTTCAAGTGCGTTTCCACACGGTTAAGCAGATATTCGACCGACCAATCTGACTGGGGAAAGGCTTGTTTTTCCTATTCGAAGATCAATCAAACAAATTGAGGCTGAGATAGGCCTAAACAACTTGCGGCTAGAAAGAGAGCCTGATTGAAGAGAGGAGTCATCCGAATGTGTACAGCTTGATAGAATTTGCATGAATTTTCAACAGCAACGGGAAAACAATACCAAGAAAGAAAAAACTCCAGTAAACAATTCAACTAACCAAATATAAGATCAACATGATTGAGCATGTAATCGAGGCTCATAACCGACGGAATACAAGTTTGTTAGACTTGTACTAGTCCAAAGTCACGCAGATATCACATCGACCTTAGTTGTAACAAGACAGTTTTTGCTCAAGACCGAGTTTAATGCACACAAATCCAGAATTGAGGAGCACATGAGAGATAGACTGTATGCTAGCATGTGAAACCCAAGCATCCAGACATGAGAGGACCTTAGCAAGACGGCTCAGTAGGAAAGGCCCCTCTTCGTCCACACGTACTACATGCCGCCTCGCAAAACACGTAAGTCGTCTTGGTTTACAGGAGAGTTTTTTGTTAACTCGGCGCTATCTGACTGGCACGGCTGGCATACGTTCCATCAGTCACGGGCAGGCTGCAGCCGCCAAACTTTGCCATCATTTTCAGATTGAACTTCGGAAACTTTTAAACATTAAACTTCGGATGTTCGCCGGGAAGTTTTCAGTCACTCAAAGTTTGCACGATAACGAACTTCTTGGAGGCCCTCAGGTCTCGTGCAGCCACACAAAGTTCCAACTTGGGATCGTGTACCCACCCGTACTTAAAATACCACAATTCATGGAAAAGTACGGGTACACCACAGACCCGAACGGGGGCCAACACAACTCTTGTTATTATGAACTTCGGAAACAGGGTGGCTCTCTCCAAGATGTTTCTGAAATAATGAAAATCAATCTTCAAATTTCAGCACAGATTTTGAAATATACCCTGAATGAAAGCAATATTTCCAAAATTCTCCCAAGCTTGATGACAGAGATACTTTTGGCGGTTTTTGGGTCACAAAGTTCAGCATTTATTAACTAAAGATACCTACCTTCACTATCCCTTCACCCCTCCATTCGAGTGATATTTTGTGATAATGGATATGGTGGGGTAGTCCACAACCTCGCCACCACCCCTGCTCGTACATCTTGACCACCCCTACCTGATAAAGCATCAAGCGTGACGTTCCCCCGGGTGGGTATTCGCACCCCCTGCATGCCACCTAATAGGAGGGGGTCATGGTCGGGTTGGTGCGAACAATGGGAGGCAGCAAGGAGGTTTAACGTGATGGTAGAGAAGACGGAGAAGGTGGAAGGCGAAGAACATTCTTCAGACACGAGGACATCAGATTGTTTGCGCAAGATCACAAGTTAGTTTCATGCCAATTGCTGCATGCTGTAGTGCTAGTCAAAGGCAGGACATTCGGTAGCAGCAAGCTGCAATGGTTGGTTTGTGATTTTATGTGCTGGGTTCAGAGGCAATGAGATGAATTCGAACGAGGATTGAGTCGAAATGCGGATATTTCTCCCGAAGATGCCCGGAAAGATGCAAAGCTGCAAACCACTTATGTCATAGATTTGGTTCCTACTCTATTGGTCTTTAGACTGAGAAGGGTAGGGAATGTCTACTTTTGTTTCCATGCACAACATGGAAATAATTTGAATCACTCATATGTGTATCATTGTGTATCATTCACATTCGAGTCATTCATATCTCCTTCTCTCACGAACTCTCAAGTCTCCGCCTGCCCTGCCTTAGTCGATTGAAGCTGTTCATCCAGGTCAATGGAGTGATCGGAGGAAGAAGTACCCGGGCGAAGCCCAACAAGAAACGAGCAAAGCAACGTCCTGTCCGACATCAGCCTCGAAGCAGAGGACGAGCAGCCCAGAATGCTGCCTGACGCTAGGGGAAGGGGAGCCTTGCTCCTGCTCCTGGTTGTGCTCCAGTCTCAGCTGTCGCTCAGCTTCATGATCGCGCCATGTCCCAGGTTTGAGTAGGAGGATGTTCGATGCCAGTGCACTGAATGGTGGCTGACCAGGTTCCCCTCCATCTCTCCTCCTCTTCGCAGTTCTCCCTCCCATGGCGTCGCCTTCAAGCCCAGGCGCTCAATCGGAGGCCCGCACATGATGCTGCCGTCCCCTCTTGACGTCTTCAAGGTGTGTCTGCCACTGGAGGAAGGAGGGAGGGAGGGAAGACAATGAAGAGCAACAGCGATGATGAGCTGGAGGACGAGGTGAGCTCGCGTATTGACTGAGTGCCTATCAGGTCTATGAGTTCTACCTGCACAAGTACCCTCACCCGGTCGACACCCTCACCGGTATGGCGCTCTACGTGCTCGGCAAGGTCACCTGCGACGCCATCAACAAGCAGCCATGGCGACCGAAACGCGAGTATGGGAGGTGGGCGGTCATGGGCTGCCTCGATGGGTACTTCACGCACGCCTGGTATTGGTACATCGAGATGGCAGCGTCAGGGCTGCAGCCCCTGCTTAAGTTGTCGAGCATGGTGAGATATCTCCCTCGTGCTGCTCCCACTCGCCTGCTCATTTGCAGGCTCTCTCATCTCTTGCCTTGTTTCTTGCTCCCTCCTCCCCATCGTCTACCTCCCTGGCCTCTGAGACGCTTTCACCCAGGTTCTTACGTCATCCTTCCTGTACACGCCGGTGTACTGCCTCGCCTTCCTGGTGGTGATGGGCTTTCTGGAGGGAAGGAGAGCGGCGGGTGTGGTCGACAAGGTCAAGAAAGGCTTCGCAGAGCTGACGTCCATGACGATCCGGACATGGATGCCGCTAAATCTTATCCTCTTCGGGTGAGTGCGCCCCAAGACTCCTTCCTATGATGTTGTGACGGCTCCCTGTGCTCGTAGCGTCGTCCCCCTCCAGCTCCGAGTGTCCTTCTCCATGGCCTGCCACTACCTGTACCTCATTGCGCTTGCCATGTGGGAGTCTGGCCTGCTCACGGCCTTCATCGCCCGTGTCAAGAGTCGTGGTCCCCAGCAGCCCCTGGAGCTCCAGCCCAGCAGCCTGGCAACAATCAAGGTAGTCGTCCGCCTGGAGGAAGTGGACCCGGCGGCCGCCGACTCGCCTGTAGTCTGTGCACCCATCAACGCTGACTTCCTGGCGGGGATACCCCTGCCAGAGGAGATACCCGTGGGCACAGATGAAGCGGAGAAGCAAGGAGCAAGAGAACCGAAAGCTCGCGCCAATACGGGTTAGACTTTTTTCAATAGATGAACAGAGGAAATTAATCTTTGGTGCGACGGTTGACACTGTGATTCCCCAACGTGAAACCTATCCCAGAGCGAATCAAATGCAAACTACCATTCTGACAAGTTAAAGCACGTAATAGCGAGATCTTGTGAAGTAATCTAATTTAATCACACACACTCTATACATCCGAACTCAAAAAGGGGCAGGAAAACTTTACAAGGACATGGCCATGAGCGAAAGCTCACGGAACTGATCCTCCGTCGCCATCTCGCCCTCGTCCGCCTGACCAAAGCTCTGCGCTTTGTGAAACACACTGGCCAGCGTGCTACTGGATCCAGAGAAGGACGACACAGTGCTCAGCATCTCATCGGCACCGAGCTTCTTCTCCCTCCAGCAGCGCACGCAGGTCTCGATCGCGTTCCTTGCACCCGCTGGCAGCTCGTTGTACGCGGTACGGAGGACAGCCTCGGTCAGAGGAGCAGGAAGAGAGTTTCCTTTCTTGGCCACAACCTCGACTTCGCTGATATCTCCCTTCGAGCACTCGAGCTGGTACTGCGGGCTCGCGTTTGCCGGCTGGTCAACTGACTCGGGGAAGCTGATGGGATGCTGAGATGCAATCTGAGCCGAGATCTGGCGCTCTTTCGCGTCGGTGGCATGCTTCCTTGCAATCATTTCATCCACTTGATTCTGAGAGGACAATGTCAAACACAAGGTCGGAAAGGAGTTGAACATTATAGTTTACCTTGAGTTCGGTGAAGAGGATAGAAGTCCGGTACAACTTTGCCTTGGAATCGTTCTCGTAACCAAAGCTATAGAAGGGAATTCCTGCCCCAGGAAACCAGTCGCCTTCAGCAAACTTGCGTTTTCCAAGGCAGGAATCGAATGCTCCAATGGGACGAGGGGACGTCTCCGGGGAAGGAGTGAAAGTAGCTTGCTCGCTGAAAGGGCCGCGTGGGGGCATAGAGGTCGGGGTGATAGAGGTCATACTTCGTAAGTCGGGAGCTTGATACGGATGAACTGAGAAGAACGCGAAGGTTCAACAAGAAAGAGGAAGGGGAGGTGAGGGGTGTGACTGGCTGGAAGGTGGGTCTTGAGTAAGAGCAGCTGTCTTCTGAGACTTCAAGGTCTGACTTGCTCGCACGAGGAGGTTCTGGATGAAGGTGAGGGGCGTGAAGGGATCCTTATAGTGGAGACGCCCCCTTGTTAGTATACTTGTAAATGAAGAGATGCCTTTTGATTATTGGACCCAGTGTACCCCTCTAAATCGCCAGAAATACACCGGCCATGAGCTCGGCATACGCTGAATTTATATCGGATCGTTGCGTTCTCTAATGCTTTTTAAGCTGTTCAACAACTATATAGCCGGATTTCAATACCGGTTAAAACAATCTAAACTTTCAATAAATAACTTTTAAATTCTATGACGCCCGCTTTAGATGTGGAAGGGACATGGATAAGTCGGCAGTGGGGTGGTCCCTGGGGGGACAAGGGGTGGAGATACCTGGGGTAGTCCAGGGGGATATAAAGATAGAGTGATGCTTCGGGCCGAGGGGTGGGTGAGATAGACCAAATGTGTCTTTACAAGGGTGGTAGGAATACAGGGTGGGTGAATGTTTGGTTGAGTGGGGTGGTACAGGCTAGGGTACAATTTTTGATTCATAACAGGGTAGGTACTGGACTGAAAACAGAAGGGTGTAATCGAGCTGTAAGGGGATCAGATATTTTCGGGGGGGTTCTCCACAAAGTAGTCATATTTCTACCAAGGTAGGTGGTATCTGTGAACACAGGCTTACAAACTGCTTAGTTAAAGGTATTTGAGCTCATTGAGAGCAATGGGGCATACCCACTCAATTCTTCAATTGACCTACTATGGTTTTTGAATCAGGTATGTACCCTAGCCCTCTGAGTTTCTACGTGCTTTTTTACCCCCGACCTGTAGGTCAAATTTTGAGTTTGTTTGTGTGTGCCGAGTGGCATGCTGCGTTTTTACGAAGGGGAGTAGTGTAAACTACCGCAGTTTTGCAGGGGTGTAGGTAGTGGCGAATCAATTAGAGCTTCAATCATAATATCGAGAATGTAGTATATGGGTCACCAACAACAGTTCAAACCTGTCTTAAAGCAATTGGGATATTGTTGGACTACTACCGTGACCCCTGATATCTCATGTACCCACCCCACCCACCCTCGACCTTCGCTACATCATTCCCGTAACAGATTTGCTATAGGTAAAACCTGAAGGGAATGACCTTCCGTCACAGGTAGTACTAAGGGGTGGGTCTGCATGTGTGGGGTGGGGGATCGGAAAACACGTGGGACAAGGAGGGGACTGAGGGGTGGGGTGCTATGAAGGAAGGGGTCCTGCTTCCGAAAAGTGTGACAACTAGCGGGATGCTGGAAGGGTCAGCATGTCTTAAAGGAAGAAGGACGCTCTAGAAGACGATGGAAGGATTTGCTGACATTCTTTCCGACCATCCACTGTAGTAAACTGATTAACTTCTCCGGTCATCGAGACGAACGGGCGGATCAATAACGAAAACATATCTTTTGGAACATTATAAAGGTAACAAAGAGTCAAAAGACTTATTTTCGAAGCCGTTTGTTTTCCAGTAGTGGGACCTCTGCAAGGATCATAGCATCCACGTGGCTGGTACAAATCAACCTCAAAAGGAAGATAATTTTAGAAGCTTTGTACCAGCATCCTATCCTGCAACACCGCGAGTACCGGTACTTTTGTAGTCAAGTAGAGGGGTGAGCAAAGTTCTCCAGTGTGTCCTACGACACGTGTAAAGTGTGCCATGTTCCTTGGATCATAAGTTGGTTGACTGGCAAGCTGGACTGGCACTGACGAGGAGGGCAAGAATCTCATATGGTGATACTGAGTAGATCGAGGGGCATGGGATACCGGGAGAGGGAAACGAGAGTCCTGTAAGAAAATTGCTAGCGACTGCTGTATCTTACAAGCAGGTTTTAAGGGATGGAGTTTTAGAGCGCCCGAGACCTGCCGGGATCCCGGCGGGGAGCCTTAACGCCCAGCCGGAGGGGCGGACATTTTACAGCAGCCTGGATTTCTAATGACAGGATTCTCGACTTAAAAAGAAATGATTTTATGTTACGGTGGCACGGTGGTGTGGTAAACTGGCACTCGGCGGCCACCGTGAACTAGTAGTCAGTTTGGGCGTAGCCCGGGGCCCCGCCGGCCGGCCCGGCGGGCCGTGGCCGCGCCCGGCCGCCAGTGGCCTCGCCCCACAGCCTGCCGCACTGGGCTCAGCTGGGTCGGATCTTTCGTCAGCTCCGATGCCATCATCGCGGGTGCATTCCGGTAGGCTATGCAACTCATTACGGTTTGGGGGACAGCCACGCAGTTCCCGTCGGGAGTCCGCCGAACGGTTCAACCGTTGGCAGGCCGCATGATTGGGTTTGGTTCCGAAGTTCGGCGGCTGCCGGCGCGGCCGCGAGTCGGGGCCGGCGGCCCACTCAGTGGCCCACCGTCACTTTCAGCGGCCCGGCCCCCCGATACTCGGCAACCTGAACTAAAAGTTTATCAAATCCTTTTACTTCGAGTGCCGCTACTATGTCGGATGTCGACTGTCTTTTCTCTTCTCGCCGTTTGGCCTGTGCGACTCCGTACTGAGTGTCCCTCCTCGACTCTCCTGATCGTCCTCGTACTGATTTTTAACTTAACTTTGAGTAAAAAGATGTCGGATGGGATGTTCACTTGGGATGCTTCGTTGTCTTTGTTGCATGCTCTCCCACACACTCGGATGTCTTGAGATGGGATCACGAAGAGGCTGGCTGGAGGCACCTTTCAGCAAAGCTTGTTGGCTTCGGGTGAGTTTCATGCGGTCAGTCTTGGATGTTTTTTTGCTCATGATATGTGTGAGGCTGCGCTGCATTCTCATATAAATTCATACGAATGCATATGAATGCAAGCCTAGGAACAAGAAGAGGTCAATGTCATGCAACTACTTTCCTGATTCTATCTTCTGATCCTATCTGAGGCTGATCCTATCTTCCTGATCTTTCTCTCTAACTCAATGAATGATTTTGAAATGTATGATTTTCTTTCTCTCTTTTTTCTTTTCTCTCGCTCTGAAGATGGATCATACGTCATCTTTTCATGCTACCTTTTTTGTCTGATGATGCTGTTTCATGAATGTTATCATGCATGATGAGTCTGATGATGCTGTTTCATGAATGTTATCAAGCATATGTGTCTGATGTTGCTGTTTCATGAATGTTATCAAGCATATGAGTCTGATGTTGCTGTTGTCCTCTACTTGTATGATTTTCTCTCGCTCCTATCATCATGCATGCTCTACTCATGCAAGCTGCCAATAAGCCAGTTGCATACCATTCGATGCAGTGTGTGCGGTTTCTATTCGCTTCTGCTTGCTTCCTGTGTCCTTCAAAGGGTGTTTCTGATGCCATGTAAGTCAATGGTGTGAACGCCGCGTTCAAGTTGTCGGATCTCCGCTCCTGCACTTTGTAGATAAGCTCTGTTCTGTTTTCGATCGGTCACTCGTTTCTTGCGGTTTGTTTGTTCCGATGTCCTCTTGACATGTCGCTTGTGATGCAGATGCGATGTAGCAGCTCAGAAGATGCTCTTCACAACTTCGTCTTATGTTACGCCAGCTCACGACAGAGGATCAGATCCCTACGATGGCCAGCTGTAGGGCGGATGCCAGGTTCTTTGAGATGGACATCTGAAAAACTTCAATTACCTCGATGAATTACCTCTTGCAAAATGGGGCTCCATTTTCATGGCAGCTGCCATGATTCTTCAATCATGGCAGCTCTGCATTTATCCTTCCTGTTGTGAGAGAGAAAGACAGAGCAAACAGCATCATCAGACAGCATATTCCAACAGCATAAGAGATGCCATCTAGCCCGAACACGGTGAAAGATTGTGTGACGAAATGATGCGAATAATCAGTTTGACAAGGTAAAGCTGGTACATTCCAAAGCTAGTTCATCCTCCCTTTTAGAAACTCTTGTTGACACTCGTGGGTTGGAGCGACAAATAGGACATGGCCTACCAGCCGCTCCATCCTTGCACTGCTCACAGAGACACTTGTGTCCGCAAGGGATCAGCGCTCAGTCCGCCTTTCGTTCCATGCACAGGACGCATTGCTGGCTATCGCCAGCTCTTTTGCTCTTGACTTGGCTTTATCATATTCCTGCTGAAGCTTTTCATATAAATTGCTGAAACTTGGCCGCTCAGACTTCTTCTCCCTCCAGCATTCCTGCATGATGCTGTACCCCGCTCGCCCCCAATCCCGTACCTTCTATCCCACGAGCGCATCCTCGTCAACGGCACTTCCGCTTACGTCCAGATTCCTACAAGGTCACACCGAACGCCCACACGTCGCTCTTCTCTGAGTACCGCCTTCTCCTGATGCTCTCCGGCGCCATCCACCGGTAACGCCGAGCCGTTGACCGGCCGAACTCACTGCTGCAAGATTTTAACCTCCTGCTCGAACTCCAACCTCCTCTTAGTCGGCCCACTGCCTCGGGTTCGCTGCATGGCCACGTCGGTGCCCTGAGGCTTGTCGGCAGTAGAGAAGAAGATGCTCTCCGCTGTTTGTATTTGTGCCCCTTAAGTAAGAGCGATCTAGACGGAAGTATTTCTCCTCCTTGCAAAATCCCATACCGTCAAGCCGAGCTTCTGATTCTGTGCAAGCCATGCTTGCTTCCGACAAGGGACCTTCGATTGAAATCAATACTCGCCACCTGGGCCATTGACAGCTCCTCCCCTTTCTTCCACATGTACTGCTCTAGCGCCCCGGCATCCTCGACAGGGGCTATTCGGAATAACTCCTTGTTCTCCGGCGGGACGACAAAACAATCCTTATCGTCCATGTCCCACCTGCAGGAATCCCCAGAGCCTCAAGAGCAGTCAAAAAATACCAGAGCTTGAGAGAGTGATCCATTGACACTGTCAGCTGAAAAAACTGTACGACCTTCTCATCCTGATCTACAATGATTGCGTCGTAGCCACCTTGAAATTCACTGATTGGTTTAAGACACGCCCTCGTGTGGGGAAGAGAGTCCGTGTGTTCTGACGAATCGAAGTTTACAACGAAATTGCATGCTTTTAAAACTTCAGGCTCACTTGACCCGCGGTAAGTTATGCTCAGGTCTCTTCTCACTTCCTCGAAAAAGAGCATCTCCAAAAGATGCCCACATAAGTCTCGCTGGCCACTACAGGACGTCCACATTTTTCTCAATGTGTCAACCGCTCCCCGGGACGCCGCAAGATTGCTGGCCACGTACTTGCTCACAGGAAACCAGACCACCGTCTGCTGAGTTACCGTACTGGCAATCAGCCGATTCGTGATATCCTCCGAGGAAACACCTGCGTGACCCCGTAAAAGATTTCGTAAGTTTGGAGCACTTTCAAGCGCAAGATCCAAGCACCGAAGGACCTCCGCCGCAGTCATGTCGAACATGTACCGACATGACCCACCTGCTAGGTAATGCTTATGCCTTACTCGCTGTTGTTTCGATTTCGACCCTGTAGTCATCTCGAGACTCAAAATCTCTCCTGTGACATTCATCTCCAAGGAAGGGGCCACCTGATTGTAAAACTCGTCAAACTGCACTGCCTCTAGATATTCATCGATCCTCCATGATGGAACTATGTGCTCCTTCAGCCCCAACTCTCGATCCTCTTCATCGTAGATCTTTCCTCGAAACGCCGATGACATCACCACAACAAGACGTCGATTTTGCCTGTCGGCTTCCCGCCATCCTACACATGCTACCAAAGCTCTCTTGTGAGATTCTTGGTAAGACAAATAGCCATCGAGTACCATGAGGCTCTTTTTGCTGTCTGACAACCCTTCAAGCAACAGTGTCATCTGTTTCCACTCAGACTCCGTTGCGACAGAGTATGTTCTTCTCCTGTTGCCTGAAACCTCCACGACAAAGGTGTCGCTTATGGCCTTCAGCCTGATGCATGTGAAGCTCCACTCATTCCTATCCAGCACCATACAAAACGAAAGCGTTGTTGTTGTCTTCCCTGTTCCTGGACAGCCTTGTATCCATCCAAGAGCACCATGCTCTAGCACTTGCTCTCGCAGGAAACGGAACTGCTCCAGGAAGGCTTGTCGGCAGTAGAGAAGAAGATGCTCTCCGCTGTTTACATTTGTGCCCCTTGAGCAAGAGCGATCTAGACGGAAGTATTTCTCCTCCTTGCAAAATCCCATACCGTCAAGCCGAGCTTCTGATTCTGTGCAAGCCATGCTTGCTCCCGGCAAGGGACTCTTGGGACAGGGCTCCTCTTTCAATGGTAGCAGCTGTCGTGGCTGCTTCACTTTCTTCCAAAGCTGCTTCTTGTCTTCACGAAGTTCTGCATGCCTCCTCCGATTCTGTCGCCCTGCACTCTTGATCTCTTTCTCTACTCCCTTGATCTCTTTCCTTATCCCCCTGACCTTCTTCTTGGAGCTCTCATCTCCTCCGCGCAACGTGAGACATTTTCGTACATCACCAACATTCGACGGGTTACTCTCAGGGGGTTCTAACAAAGTTTGTGCAGACCTTGATTGCAACCCTCCGCTCAAACATGTCAAAGGTGTCAAAGATCTAGCAACTCCAACGGCCGCACGAAAGCTACCTACCAGCTCCCTCCCTTCAGCGAGCTGCGTGCTGGCCGGGCTCTTGAAGCATGCTAAGAGGACAAACAGACCATACATGGCTGGTTCCCGCACCCCGGACACCATGACGTCGCTTTTATCTGAAGCTATCGGATCCATGTAACACACATTTTTTTTCTGTCAGGTTTATAGTTTTGAGCTATAAATTGAACAATTTCGACGTCGCTTTTATCTGAAGCTATCGGATCCAGGTAGGATTCAATGTAATACACATTTTTTTTCTGTCAGGTTTATAGTTTTGAGCTACAAATTGTTGCCCGAGTCAGTGAGGCGACGAAACTAGGAGAGTTTATTGACTGAAAAAGTTTCGGTGGTGAACCGTTGCGGTCGAGTTCGTCAGCAAGTTCCTAGCTCCTCACGGGTTTCCCGCGCCGGGCGAAGTTTGGCTTCAGGCTTTCTTAGCTCCGCTCGGCGGTACTCCCATCGTGTGACATCATGAACATGGTTGGAGAGCAACTTGATGAAAGCACCGATCATGTGCTACAGGAGATAGCAGCAGCGGGAAGGAGGGGAGACTGGAGGAGGCTCGCAGAGATAATGGGGCAGAACGAAAGCGAGAATGAGTTGGCAGCAGCAGTAGAGGCTATGTTGTCGATCGTCTTGAAGGAGGAGCTCAAGCCTGATGAGGAGGAAGCATGGGTGGCAGGAGCGATAGATGCGGTGATCTCGGCGATGAAGCGAGGATCTCTGTCTGTCAACGAGAAGCTAGCTCGAGGAGGGTGTGAGATTTTCCGATTATTGTCACCAAACAACAATGTTGCCACCAAGATCGGGGAAGAAGGAGCAATAGCAATCATCGTCGCCGCCATGCGCGCTCATCTTGACAGCCTCTCCGTGCAGGAGCATGCTTGCGCGGCGCTGATCAACTTATCTCGCGGCAACCGTGAAAACAATTACTTGATATTCAAGGCGGAAAGCATCCCTGCCATCGTGGCTGCCATGCGCGCTCACCCCAACAGCCTTGTGATACAGGAGTTGGCATGTCAGGCGCTCAACTGCGGCTTTGCCGACATCTTCCACATTGCGAGAGCCCGTGGTGTCTCCGCCATCGTCGCCGCTATGCGCGCTCACCCCAACAGCTGTGTGATACAGGAGCAGGCATGCAAGGCGCTCCGCGATCTTACCGACAACGAGGAAATCGTGGGGATGATCCTGGGTGCAGGAGGTATCCCCGCCGTTGTTGCCGCAATGCGCACTCACCTTGACAGATTGGAGATACAGAAGAAGGGATGTTTGGTGATCTTGAGCCTGATTGCAAACGAATACGAATTCGGTGGGATAGTTTCCAGAATACTAGAGGAAGGAGCCATCCACGTGCTCATCGCCGCCATGCGTGCTCATCGTGACTGCCTGGAAATGCAGACGTTGGCTTGCAACGTATTCAGGATGCTGAACATGGAAGACATACATGGCAACTGCAAGGAGGAGCTACGGAAAGCAGGAGTCATCGCCGCCATTGTCGCCGCCATACGCGTGCATCCTGATAGTCGTGAGTTGCAGGGCATCGGATGGATGATGCTGGTGAGCTTACAGGCTTCCCATGAAGACGAAACCCAGCATCACCCATGGGAATCGCTCGAATCTTGGAACTCAGACGATCAGTCAGATGCCTGCTCTCAGTTGGCCAATGCTCTTTGTCTTGAAAGATGTGAAAAGCTGAGAAGCTACCGCCGCAAACCTAGACTGTACAGCAGCACTGTGGGCGTCAGTGACGCCCTCATACAGCCTCCGGCTCGGAATGGTTCCTATCCATGGCTTCCGTACGGCTGATCCAAGTAACTTCATGATTCCTGAAAGGACCCGAACGGTATGATCGGCGACTGACCGTTCAGGTGTAGCAATCCGGCCATCCAATGACTCCGATTATCCGATGAACAGACTCATCATGGCATCGACTCAGCCTCACGGTGAGTGGCAGCCGCAAGACTCAGACTCTTGAACTGCCACCCGCCGCGGCGTTAACTTGAACTTGATTAGTAAACTCAGATGGCAGACTCAGCGGCTACCGTGACTGGCTATGATCGGACCCCCGCTGAAAAAGACTGCCTCGATGTTCAAGTTTCCTTCGTACCGTACGGGCCCGGCGTAGTACCCGGTGAAGGCTTGAACGCCGCCGGACTTCTCAGCCTCAGCCCACTGCTCAGTGACTCGAGGCATCAGTCCCGGAGTCCCGGGGCCGCCGGCCCGGCGGCCCGGGCCGAGAGTCACTGCTCAGGCTGTCATCGCCGTGACTCCCGGAGTGGGGGGCCCCCCGGCGGTGCCAGCCCTGAGCCGCTGCCGCCCCGGCGCGCCTAAGTGACTGAGCCTCGGAGTCGGGTTCGCAGTCTCCGGGGCCGAGCCTGGCAAGGCCCTGTTGCCGCCGCATCATGATTGGACTCTCGCCGGGTGACTCGGGCATTTACCGCCGTAGTACGGAGTCTCAGCCGGGCGGGCCAACTCCGTCGGACGGCCCGGTAATAAAAGTTAAGTTAAAAATCAGTACGAGGACAATCAGGAGAGTCGACGTAAGTGAAATCATTGGCCCACCGGTTGAGGGCACCACTTCAAATATTTATCTTCAATTTAAAATTTACAGGTATAATTTCAAAACAAATCTATTTATTAGAACACCGAGAATGAGAACCGTTGAGAATGTCTACCGTCGGATGGAGAAAGGGGGAAAGGGGAAGAAATGGGAGGGAGGAGACAGAAGGGACCAACAAGCTCAGCATGTGACAGGATAGAACCTACAAGCCAGGACAGGACAGGACAGGACAGGACAGGACAGGACAGGACAGGACAGGACAGGACAGGACAGGACAGGACAGGGACACACTTCCCATTAGAATGATCGTGGAAGAGCAATGCATTTGCGTTCGGCTGATAGGTTTAAAGGGCATCCTTGAGATAAATCAGGTTCTGTGATGGAGATGAGACGGGGGGAGGTAGTCTGTGGTATCGGAAGTGAGGCAAAGAGATTAGAAGATTTCAGCCAAAAGGGCTTGTTGTTCGAACGAGGGCATGTCTCCATATTCCAAGCCATACTTCAGTGCATGTCAGGAAAACAACGATCGCCCTCCGATCTGATGTTTGCTGTCCCGACAGATCTTATCATTTCAGATCGTTGATATCGAGCAAGGGGCCTCTCGTATCCTCATCACCATAGCAATTCCCGTGGAACAACAAGCCGATGGCCACCAGCGAGTTCGCTAACGGCAACCAGGACAACTTCTACTCTAGAAAGTTTCGGAGCATACAGTCCGGGGACGCCGTCCCTTATCGCTGTTACTGTCCCATCGCTCCCATCAAGTACTCAGGGCACAAGCCCATGATGTCACTCGAGTGTATCGACGTGAAGCCCTACAGTCGTCACATGGCCCCCGCAGTCTCGTACCCAAGGTTCCTTGACCAGTAAGATGAAGCTCTTCCTACTTCTCCTCCTCCTCCTCCTCTACTCCCTCCTGCCTCTATCAAACCCACTGAGCATGAACCTCCAGGAGAACAGAGCGGCTGTCGACGGGCATGAGCTCGTATAGCAAGCTTGTCTCTCCCTTTCCCCGTCACGACATGGACCAACTCAAGGCTCCCACGTTGCAGGCTCGACCTCCTGCTTCCTCCAGCTCAGCTCTGATGACCCTTGCAGCAACTCGAGGGCAGGTCGCGGATCCTGAGCCCGGGGAGCAGGTTTGTTCCGATGACAAGGTAGGTCAAGAGGAGCTTCCAGTCGCTTCCTCCTTCTCTCTCTCACGTCCTCTGCGGTGGCAGGGGACGTGAGATGGTTCGCCCTCAGACAGCTCCTGCCCTCGGACGGCGGCAGGTGAGGGCTGTGCGAGTGGACTGTGGCTGGTGACGGGATGTTGCAGCTTCACCTAGCAGTGCCGGACGATGTGATAGGAGCGGAATTTGACCACTCGAGTAGAGCTGCATGCTGCTCCATGACGATTCCTGACTGTTTGTTCAGCACATGTGCGACGATACTTCACCAGCAACCAGATGCACCTGGTCGTCACCTCGCTCCTGTTGCTCTGCTCACTCCCTGTGTCCAGGTTTCTGGATGGCCGTGAGGAGAAGAGAAGGAGAGAGCAGAGCAGAGCAGAGCAGAGCAGAGCAGAGCAGAGCAGAGCAGAGCAGAGCAGAGGAGCTGTTGTGGAGCCTGTGCCAGTTGCATGAATGTAAATATGTTCCGGAGATATTGCTAGTCGGGATTTTGAACACAGCAGACGTTAAACTCTCGTTTTCCGTTCTCTCCTTCTACCCGGTTCCTGCCTCTTCTCCCATCCCTCTCCTCTCTGTGTTCCTACAGACAACCAAACATCCTCAAGCCCTCCCGGGCTTCCCGTCCGGCGCTCGTGATTTGAAATGTTCGCTGCTGCAAGAGACTCGCCGATCAGAGGGAATGTCAGGTCGTGAGGAGGAGGAGGAGAAAGAAAGTGGGGGAGGAGTTGAGCCGCTGCGATAACGGGGGGGAGAGGCAGCAACAGGTAGCTACTAGTGCTGCACCAGGACCTACGTGAAAAAGAGAAAAAGGGGCGAAAAGGGGAGGAGGGGAGGAGGGGAGGAGAGCGAGCAGGTCAAGAGGGTCGGAAGCAGGAGGAGGGAACATGGCACAGTCAAGAGAGTTCGACGATCCTCTGCCGCATGCTCGATACAAAGGTGAGTGGAGAGAAAGCAGATGTTTGGACAGGGAAAGAGAGAGGGCAAGAAACTTTCGCATGTTATGTTGCATGTCATTGACCTGAACTCACCATCTTCTCATCAGGACATCGCAAACCCAAGACGGAGTACAGTGTTGAGTCAGGGAAGGTCAGCCCTCTAGCCGTAGCAGGAGGTCGCTGACAGCAGCGGCAGGAGGTTCCCACCTGGAGCACATCCCTCCTTCATTGCCTCGACAACCCTCGCATGGTCTTCAGCCTCGCCTCCTCTCGTCGCTGACTCGCTCCCAGTGCTTGTGTGCCCTCACGGGCATCGGCGTCTGCGTCATCCACGGGCACGTGCATGACGGTAACTCGCTCCTCCTCCTCCTGTCGCTTCCTCACTCCCTCTCTCAGCTCTCGTCAGCGACGGCTGCTGCCTCAGCTGCTGCCAGGGTATCATCACCCCAGGAGAGTGCGGTAGGCAGAGAAGACACTTCCGTCACCGCTTCGGCATTCCTGTACAGCCTCCTCCTCTCCTCCTCTCCTCCCCTCCTCCTCTCCTCCCTCTCAACCTGCTAACAGGCGAACAAACGCTGCGGAAGCTGCTTCGGAGATTGCATGCAGGCGACGTTTTGCTTCCCCCTCACGGCGATGCAGGTGAAGGAGAGCTCAAGGGAGGGGTGGGGGTGACGCTAGTGGGCAGGAGGCAAGAGAGCTAGAGGTCAGGTCTCGACGGCGATGGACACCATTGAAAGGTTCACAAGCATGTGCTCTCAGTTGAAGTTGACGACAACAAGGGTTTCGAGGACGAGGAGAAGACGTTTATTCTACGATCTGCGGAGAAGAGAACTTTGACCGAGGTCGACCCCTGGTCTCGTCATGTTTGTTTGAGGATTGATTGTGCTCCTGTAGTGCTTGTGGGGTACTTTGAGAAACCGAGAGACATTCTGAAAGACGATGGGTTCGAGACAGGTGATAGCAAGTAAGATTTTCTCATCTTACTTTGCAAACTTTCAGTTCAGAGTGAACCCTCCAGCGCACGTTCTGAGATTTCCCGTCAAAATGAGCCCCCGGCAACGCAGAACTCGTTGCGATGACGACATAGCAAACAGAAATCATCGAGAAGCGATCAGAGCAGATCAGATGGCTAAGAGCTGATCTCGTGGGAGGAGGATGCTTCAGAAGATGTCTGCAGAGATCTTGAGGCTATCTTGTTGGCTTCTTGTCGGAGCTCAGTCGGGGTCCATCGGAAGCGATTCTGTTGCAGCGAGTGCTTCTCGTGTCTCAACCTCTCCACCGTCTCCTTCACACCAGCGATCTGCGATCGGTACTTGACTTTGAGTTGTTTTAGAGCTCGAATCTCCTGGCACGTCTGCAGCTCTTCTGCCGTAGCCTCACACGAGGATGCAGACAAGTCCTGCCCTTGTGCAGGTGGCTGCTGCACATGCAGCTGGCAGTTTGTCACGTCAGTCTTCCGATGCTCGTGTGAGGTCTCAGAGGATGGTCGAAGGTCTGGAAGTGATGTCGACGTTGTTATCTCAGTCTTCTCACCCTGTACAATGATTGAATGAATTTGTCTCTCGAGCGCGAGCAGTTGTCTCGTTTGCTCCAAACTCTCGTTGCTCTGCTTGACTGCACTTGCAAGGCGATCTCGCGCGTTCGATCTGACCTGAATGTCCCTCCCCAGGGACTCCATCCTTGCCTTGAGCTCGAATACTCTGCTCCTTGCACTTTCAATCTTATCGTCGACGAAAATTTCCGAGCTGTTGAGACTCTGCACCTGACTTTGTAGTGTCCTCAGTTTTGCGGTGAGGTCTTGCTCGTTGTCTTTTGCTTCTTTGAGCGCAGCTTTTGTTTGTTGCAGCTCTTCTTCTAGATGCGAGAGCTTCTTTTCCAGCTCTACTTTCATACTTCGCCGCTGTTTCTGTGCTTTCTTCCGACTTGATAGGTGACGATCTGAAAAATCTTCACTTCGGCTAGCAGCAGAATCTCTGCAGAAAAGGCCTCAGTTCTTCAGTAAAGCTTTTCACCGCTCACCTCTCGATCAACCACTTGAGAACCTTGGTTCGAGCTAGAGAATCTTTCACCCCCTCCTTCCTCGACCTGAGATCGCTCTGGCGCTGAAAGTCTCCGTCCTTCATCCCCTCCATAAGTCCCACTTGCATGCTGATCGATGTCACCAGGTGACCTGGCGCATCTGATGTTTCTCAGCCTCTAAGCGCTCCCAACCTTCACCGCTCACAGCGCGCTACTACCAGTCAGCGTCTGATCCACACACAGCATGTCAAACATCTCTCAGCCCGTCATGTTGCTGCGGCCATGCTTGCATGTCAAGTTTGCAGTTGAACAGGCCAGCCAAGTTATCCCCCGAGCAGCCGTCTGACCGAGTCTTTGAGGATCGTACGAGAATACTACCATATCGATGGTGACCAACTTGCCTTGGAGTTCAGCCTGCGACTGACCGCATGAGGACCTAGAAACTTCGGTTCACTCGATGCTCGCAGAGGCTGCCGCTCCCTCCTCCGGTCAGATTTGATCAACCTGAAGTCGCACATCAACTTCTCCTTCATTATTCGCTTCTCGCTCTCTTCTTTCCCTTCTCTCCTACTCCTGTCTCTCACTGTTTCTCACTGTCTCTCACTGTCTCTCATCGCATCTCCCCTCATCTTCTATCACTGTCTCATTCCACTTGTCTCAGACCCAGACCGAACGTCAATGCCACTGAACATTCAACTCATAAATCTCATCCTCAAAATCATGCATCGTGAGATTCTTGATCATCTCTTCCATTGCAAGGCTTCTTGCCCCCGTCCTCCTCAATCCTCCTCTGCTCTCCTCCTCAGTCATCATCCGATCTTCTTCACTGCAACATCAACAGTCCTCCTCCTCTCCTCCTCAACTTCTCCTGAGGAGTCCTCTCCTACCCCTCGTCTTCCTCCTCCTTTTTTCTCCCCCCTCTCCTCCTCCTCCTCTTTCTCCTCCTCCTCTTTCTCCTCCTCCTCTTTCTCCTCCTCCTCTTCATAGCCTAGTAGAGTGCAGTCAGGCCCTCTCGTCTGCATTTTTGGCGCCAAGGTTGCCGGTAGAAATCGCAGCGATTCTGAAAGACCGTTACAAACGGTTGTAGACTTACCGTAGTTCCGAATAGGAGGCGAGTGGGAATGCATGGGAAGGAGAGGGAGAATGAGAGGAAAGGAGAAGAGAGGAGAGAGGAGAGGATAGAAGAATGGGAGGAGGATGAAGGAAGAGGAGAGAGGAGAGAGGAGAGAGGAGAGAGGAGAGAGGAGAGCGGCAGGAGAGGAGAGGAATAGAAGCATGGGAGGAAGAGAAGCATGGGAGGAGGAGGAGAAGGAGGAGGAGCAGGAGGAGGGGCAGGATGAGGAGGAGCAGGAGGGAGAGAGTCGTTGTCTGGTCGCTCATTTTTTCATGTTGAAGTATGGACGTCATTGATCACGGGTACTTCGGCCTTGGTTTCCTCTCTGATTGCTCATCGTGATCGACATGGCGCGTGAAGCCTCATCCTCGCTACAGTCTAGGATGAATTCATCCCTGTCTTCTGACTTGGATGAGGTATGATAGAGCTGAGCACTGAAGGTAACATGACATGGTTGAGAACAGGTTGTGTTTGCACAGCACAACAGCGTGGCAAAAGAGCATGCTCTTCTTGCGCAGTACCATCAGCTCCTGCTCTTCTCCAATGCTTCCTTGCAGAGGACGAACTTGCTTGAGGTGATGGCAATCATCCACCACCAACATCAGCAAGTCATCTTCCTCTTCATCCTCCTCATCCTCCTACTTTACGCATGGCTGTTAACTCTGATGTTGGCAGCGAAAACTACAAGACATGCAGCGATGGGTCAGTCCTGCACAACTTGTGGAGCTGTGGGACCAACTGGTGGACGAAGCAGAGGTAGAGGAAGGGACAGGGAGGCAGGGAGGAGACATCAACGGGTGGAGGAGGGAAGGAGGAGAACAGCATCGGAGGGGGAAGCAGGGACGTGCCACAAGGTGAGACTTTACTGCGCAGGATTTTGGAGCAGAGCGGCTGGAGAAACTCATCGCACAATGCCAGAAATATGAGTAAGAAACCTCTACTGCTGCTGCCGTTTCTTCCAACCCTCCACTCCCTCCCCTCCGTCCCTCCTTTCGCTGTGCGCTCCCTCCACCCCATCCGCATCTTTCACAATTGAGCTGATGCGTGCCTGTCCTGGTCCTCCTTCCCCTTCTCCTTCTCCTTCTCCTTCTCCTTCTCCTTCTCCTTCTCCTTCTCCTTCTCCTTCTCCTTCTCCTTCTCCTTCTCCTTCTCCTTCTCCTTCTCCTTCTCCTTCTCCTTCTCCTTCTCCTTCTCCTTCTCCTTCTCCTTCTCCTTCTCCTTCTCCTTCTCCTCCTCCTCCTCCTTCTCCTTCTCCTTCTCCTTCTCTTCCGACACAAGAAGATCTCTATCTTTCAACACAACTAAATCTTCATGTGACAACTCGCTCACTCCTAGGTCTGAAGCCAAGGAAGTAGCTCGCAAGGAGCATGCGGCCCTGCTCGAACTACAGGTATCCTGCTCTCCTGCTCTCCTGCTCTCCTGCTCTCCTGCTCTCCTGCTCTCCTGCTCTTCTACCTTCCCGCCCTCCTCCTCCCCTTCCCTTCCTTCGACCCAGATCCTCCTGTACCTTTTCATCCTCTTGTCCAATCGCCTCTTGCTGCTGCACTACACGATCTGAGTGCTCCCTCCTCTAGCGCGAGAGCCGCATGCTGTGCGCAGAACGTGATGCCATCCTGTGCCAAGTCGCGCACATTCAAGTGCAGGTGAAGGAGGGGAAGTGGAGGATGAGGAGGAGACGTAGGCGGGGCCTTAGCGAGAAGCGGGGGAGGGAGTGGGAGTTGGATGGGAGGGGGGATGGGTTGAGCAAGAGGGAAGGGGAGGCGACAGAGGGTGGTGGGTAGAGGAGCAAAGAGAGTTTGTAATATTTGCGAGCAGGCGGAGGCTCTAGAGGAGCTGAAGGAAAGAAGTTTTGCTGTGCTCTCTCCTGACAAGACCCACGAAGGAGAGAGTTGCTCGCGCTCGTCCGCTCCTGCGACTAGCTGGCAAGACGAAGTCGGGGAAGCATCTGTGGAGGAGGAGAGGAAGCGGGAGAGAAAGGAGGACGAGGTCGAGGACGAGGAGGACGAGGATAATTTCAAGATGGACTTCGAGGGAAACTTGGATCCCCTTGCTATGATCCAGCAGCTTGCGCTCTCGCAGCAAAGGGAGGAAGAGATGAAGGGAGCCACACACAAGCAGGCAGAGCAGGGGAGAGGAGGAGCTGGGGGAGCTGGATCTGGAGCTGGCATTCGTGTTCGACCATCGCGTCCTCCTCTCCCAGAAGAATTGTTTCGACCAGTGAGAAAGAGTTTGCAAATGCCCGGAGTTGAACTGATCCGAATTTGTTTCCAGGTTCGGACTTCGAGACAAGAAGCAGGAGCAGGAGCAGGAGCAGGAGCAGGAGCAGGAGCAGGAGCAGGAGCAGGAGCAGGAGCAGGAGCAGGAGCAGGAGCAGGAGCAGGAACGATGGCGGCAGCGGCAGTGGCGGCGGCGGCGGCGGCGGCGGCGGCGGCGGCGGCAGCAGCAGCAGCAGCAGGTGAAGGAGAGGCGCTTACGAAGAAGCATTCCTGGTCAGCTCCTCTTTTGTTCTCTCCTCTCTCACTCTCCTCTGCAGGGCATCCAGCGAGTCTTCCAGCTCGGACTCGTCGACCAAAATTCAAGCTGGGGAGCAATCAGATCAGACGTCAGACGCCTCCGCCGGCACAGGGGCGGCTCGCGCAGTGGGAGGAGGAGGAGGAGGAGGAAGAGAAGGGGACGGTAAGAGTCGTTTTCTTGCTTTCCATACACCTTGACCGGGGGATCAGGAGTACAAGGCACGGAGCACTTGCGGCGAGGAGGAGGAGGCAACAGAGAGGGGGAGGGGATCCGAGGGGAGGAGGATGGAGGAAAGAAAGCAGAAATGAGCAAGGGAATCGTCCCACAGCCCGTCGGGGACCTCGTGGAGCTTCTTTCCTCGAGCATGGAGGGAACAGTCAAGCAGGTCCGTTGACTTCCTCCTCCTCACTTTCTTCCTTCCATCGCCACTCCAACTCTTCTCTTGTTTCCTCCTACATTGCAGATACTTATTCATAATCTTCATAGTCTTCATAGTCTTCATTATCATCACCATACATTCATGATCTTCATCTTCATTACCATCACTGTTATCATCATCATCATCAACAACAACAACAACAACATCATCATCATCATCTCCATCTCCATCTCCATCTCCATTATCTCTTCCTTCTCCTGCTTTTCCTCATCCTCCCTTATCAACCTGGCGTATTTCCGGCCCTGCAGCACCTGACCAGCCTCCTCAGGCTGCTATTGCGCTGGACAAGGCGCTCAAGACGCAAGAAGGGAGGGCCGCACTCCTTCGGCACCCGCAGGTGAGGGACAGGACAGGACAGGAAGGGGGGGGGGGGACAGGAGGGAGGAGGAGGACGGGAGGAGGACAGGACAGGACAGGACAGGACAGGAGGGGGAGCGGAGAGAAGGAGACGAGAGGAGGAGAGGAGGAGAAAGCTGGTGGAGCTGAAGAGGAAGTGCAGGGAGTGACTCGTTTGCTTCACCTCCTCTCCCACGAGGACGCTTCCATCCTCCGATACGGTGTTCGGGCTCTCGCGGCTCTGTCGCTGGATTCGCAGGGACGGAAGGTATTGCTCCTTTCGTAGTCTAGCCTCCCTCCCTCCCTCCTCCCTCCCTCCTCTCCCTCCCTCCTCTCCCTCCCTCCTCTCCCCCCCTACCTCCCTCCTCTCCCTCCCTCCCTACCTCCCTCCTCTCCCTCCCTCCTCTTTCCCTATTTCCTCCTCTTCCTCCTCTTTGCCCTCCGACGCCTCTGACACTGCTTCATCTCAGTTCATGATCCCCGACCTGCAGAGCCTCCGCAACATGGCGAGCCTGCTTCGGAGCAACGAGCAGGAGATCGTACAGTGAGCACAGACCACACCTCTCCTCCTTCCTCCTCCTTCCTCCTCCTTCTCCTTGTGTTTCCTCCTCCTACCTCTCTCCTCTCACTTGTAGCCTCAGGTGCATGTCGCTCATCCTCGGCAATCTCGTCCTGGACAAGAGCGGCAGGTCCCGCGTGCTTGATAGGCGAGTCCAACTGAGGTGGGAAGCTTGAGCTGAGAAACCTGAGCAGTAAAGAAGCAATTGACAACCTGGTGGAGCTGCTCTGGGCAAATGACGTGAAAGTTCAACGATACACCACAGGTCAACCATCTCCTGCTCCTGTTTTTCTGTCCTCCTCCTGCTCCTCCTGCTGCTCTGCTCCTCCTCTTTCTCCCCCTCCTCCTCCTGCTCCTCTTTCACCTCCTGCTCCTCTTCTCCTCCTTCTTCTCTCTCTCCTCACTTCTCGTTCCCG